TTTTCGAGGAAAGAGGGGCAGCCATCTGCTTCCCGCGATCCAGGACCCACCGCTGCTGAGGCACGGAAGGGAATGAGCTCGTGGGGATCGCAGGTGAATCTGGCCGATGAGTTTGAAGGGGGGTTTCCCTTTCGTGATCGTCGGCTGTGCACGAGAGTGAGCCGCTGGAGGATGATGTTATTTCATTAACATTGTCTGATTCAGGGGCCATTGCTCTGCTGGGATCAGCCCAGCAAAAGCAGGAAATAGCTGAGGAGGGCAAAGAAGCCGAGGCTGAGCCTTCCCAATCCTCCTGCCCTGCATATGATGAGCTTTTAGAAATTATGGATCGCGCCACTGCGTGGCTTTACTTGCCGTGAAACGGGTGAAGAAAGTGACGTTGCGAAATATCTCGATGAACATTATTTTTCTGGCCATAAACCCTCCAGCTCAGCTGAGCCTTCCTTTCTTCCTGTTTTTCATATAAAGAGTGAGAAGGAATGGAAGAGGCCGTTTTTCCTCTATGACTCCCCTCCTTGACATCTCGCTCCGATGCCAGGGCATACGCAGCAGCAGCAGATGCCCCTGTAGAGAGACGCTGGTCAGCTATCTCTCTATGGGTGAGACATCCTCTAAGACTCCCTTCCTTGACATCTCGCTCGAATGCCAGGGCATGTGCAGCAGCAGCAGGTCAAGCTGTCGCTTCATTGCACACGATGGTGATGCTCCAAGCATATCAGGCTGACCGGCTGAAAGACCGGGATAGAAGTCCAGGTCTGAGCCCGAACAACCCAGGGGTCCTAGCCCGTCTCAGTTTGAGGATCAGAGACTGGCTTAGAAGGCTAGTGTCGTGACTCGCGCTCCTCCCCCGACCACGGGTAGGGGTAGGAAGAATCGCGGGTCAAAGGAAGGTGAGTAAAAGACCTAAGGGATGTGATCCAGACAGGGCGTCAGTGCTTTTGTCCGGATCAGAGTGATACCTCAGTATCTACTCATTTCCTTCGGGGGTCTTACATCTGCCCTTATCTTCACCTTCCTAAATTCCCCTGTAACCACCATCTCTCCACCTGACCGAGGTTAGGTGGGAAATTTCCTGCATTATAGTCTCCTATACTGGACCTATTAGGTTTGGTTGGTTCTATGGCTTCATGGTGACCATCTTACTGATGGTCCGGTCTAGAGGCTTCTCCGGACAGAGCTCCGACGCGGGAACCATGGTGGGTGAGTACGATCCATGTCTAAATATATGTATATATAAATATAT